GTTAATGAAAGAACAGCCGAGTCATAAATAGCCTCAAAGTTGTGCCGCAGAGTTCTGAATTATTATTATTTTTATTATTTTACAGGATCTGGTTGTTGCAGATGATTTATTTTTTATTAAATTTTAATTAAAGCATGTGGAGTAAAGTGACCTTAAAGTAATATCAAAGTTTTAGGCTTAGATTTGGAACATTCGTAGTTTAAGGACCATCAGAAAAGCTAAAAATTCAACTTTTTTTTTTTTCAGTTTTTACAGTTTCAGGCTCTGATAAATGAGGCATTTTTGGCAGTTTTACAAAACAACGGTTTATTTTTTGGCAAATTTTCAGTTGAGGCAACAGAATGAAGAGGTTTTACAGAAATATCAGGATGTTAAACTGGGATTTGGTTAAGTTTCCAGATTGAAGGATTGTTGTAAACTTAAAATCCAGCGTTTCTCTCTGTTTTTACAATTTCTGGCTCTGATAAATGATGCAATTTTGGCATTTTTTTCCAAAAATAAGAAGCCTTTAAAATGCACCATTTCTTTCCCTGTTTCTTTTAGATCATCAAAAAAATCCCTGAATTTTTGTCATGCAGCTGTTGGTTGCAGTCAAGTTAATAATGGCTCCAGGGTTGCACAGAGGAGCGCAGAATTTTTTGTTTTTTACAGAATCTGATTACTGCAAACAGTTTATTTTTTAGCAAATTTTCAATTGAGGCATGCAGAAAAAAAGCGATTTTACAGAAATATCATGATTCTAAACTGGGATTTGGTTAAATTTCCAGATTAAAGGACTGTTGGAAGCTAAATATCCAGCGTTTCTCTCTGTTTTTACAGTTTCGGGCTCTGATAAATGAGGCATTTTTGCCAGTTTTACAAAATAACAGTTAATTTTTTGGCAAATTTTCAATCGAGGCAGCAGAATGAAGAGGTTTTATAGAAATATCAGGATTTTAAACTGGGATTTGGTTAACTTTCCAGATTAAAGAATTGTTGGACACTTATAATCCAGCATTTCTTTCTGTTTTTTAGGTTTCATAAATGGTGTAATTTTGGTGATTTTTAAAAACGGTAACATGTCCTTTAAACCGGCAGCTGGGTTTTGGAGTTCAGAGAGTTAACATTTTAAATCACATCACAGTCTGTGCGTCTTAATCAGAACCCACAGCGNCTGCAGTTTTACCACATTTTAGTTTGTAGAACTGATCAAACTTTGTCAGGTGATAAAGGGATTCTGAGGAAAAAGCTTGTTTTGTAAGTCTAGGATTTCTCGTCACTGCTGCATTTATTTTACCCTCTACCTTTACGAGCCTTCCAGGACCTGCTGCTGAGAAATAGCCCCACATCATGATGCTGCCACCACCATGCTTCACGTCACGATGCTGCCACCACCGTGCTTCACGTCACGATGCTGCCACCACCGTGCTTCACAGTGAGGACGGTGTGTTTGTGATGATGTGCAGACCCATTTGTGAATACTTCTATTTTTGATTAATTACCATCACTTTGAAGAAATATGTTGTACTTTTTGTGAATTCTTGTCCTAAAGGTCAAATTAAACTGTCGAATATTTAATGTTGAAAAGCAGTAAAAGAGGAAAACTTCCAGTAGAAAAGCTGTACCTATAATCTAGCTTCTCTTAAATCCCTGCTATCTAAAGTGTGACCGTTATCATCCACAGGGAGACGATAAGGAGAAGTTCAGCACGAGGTAAGACGGGTTTCAGACTTCAGAGATTAAGGAGAATTTCAGGCTGAATTCAGAGTTCGTGATCAATCCTGTGATTATTTTTTAAGGGTTTGCTCTCAGAACACCAAGTCTTGAAAGACGATACGACGGAGAGGAGGTGGGTGGCGAAGAGGGAAAACATCAAGCGACAGAAAAACATCCCACAGCTGAAGGGGAAGAAACAAAAGAGAGGAAAACTGCTCGTGGCTACAAAACAGACGGTGTTGTGGTTCCCAGGTGCCGTACCTTCCTGCAGAAGCCCGAGAAGAGGACCTGACTGTACTCGTCTTTGTTCTTCAGCTCCTTGGAAGCTCGGATGAAGCCGGAGCTGGTCTGAGGACAGTCCCGCACCTGCACAGATCAGAGGACAGTTCTGTCAGAGGCGGAGGGTTGATGCCACCAGATCGTCTCGTAGGCAGAACTCCAGGTGACCTCTCGCTGCCACCTTCAAGCCTTTTTCATCACTTTAACTCCACAAGCGGTGGATCAAAGCTGGAGGCTGCTGTAGCAGACAGAGGAAATCTAAAATCCACCGAGGTCTCACTTCACTGTTGAGATCTGTGCTGGAAGTCAAACCGAACGTACAGTTTAATGCTCAGACACACGGTCTGGAGACGTTTGTTGAGGAAAATCTCAGCTTTACAAGACTTGGCGACGTTTAACTGCACTTCCAAACACATGGCAAACGTTTTAATAAGCAAGATTAAACATAACATTAACTAATTAATCAAATAAATGCTAGAAATGTAAAGACAACCCACCAGCACACACACAAATGTTACTGAATGTCTAAAACTAGTGGACAAAAACCAGCAGGAAAATGAAAAAATATGAGACAAAATAATAGCAACAAGAAATGATAAGAAAAAGAAAAATGCATTAATAATGAGGATTAATTAGACAGTGAAGGTGACATATGTTTGTGTTTATGTTGTAAAATAGAACAAATAAGTAATAAAACTAAGTTTCTAAAAGTGTTTATAAGGTTAATGAAAGAACAGCCGAGTCATAAATAGCCTCAAAGTTGTGCC